GGGGTCGCTCGCTGCCGCGCTCACTGGCGCCGGCCGGCCGGGCCCGCCCCTCCCTCCGCCATGGCGGCCGAGAGCGGCCGGCAGTTCTGGAAGCGGAGCGCCAAGCTGCCGGGCAGGTGAGCCCGGGAAAAGGGTGCACGGGCCGCAACTCCCGCCATCCCAGCTTGAGGCTGTCGGGAAGGGGAGCTGGAGCCGTCCCTCTACCTTGGGAAAGAGCTGTCACCCACACTGACTCTGGGACAGAGGGTCCTGCTGTACCTCCCTGCGAGACTGGGGGGACCAGGCATACGTATCCTGGCTGCAGGGCAGAGGAGCTGGCTGGGGACCCTGGGATTCCCCCCTCCAATAGGGTGGATGTCAGGGGCACCCCAGGCTATGGGACAGAGAAAATTTGATGGAGGAAGGGTTACTGTTTAAGAGACGAGGGTAGGACCAGAACCGTTCCCTTGTTTGTAGGACAAGACAGGCTGTGGGAACTCCTGTGTGCCTCCTCTGCCCCACGAGAAGCGGGATCAGGGCCTTGAAGACTCCTTTGGGGTGGCTTTGGAGCCAGGACTGTACCATCTTTCTTTCCACAGATACTGAAGAAAGCTTATCCTTTCCTGAAGTCCTTAGAGGTATTGCCTTGAGTGGCAGCAACTCTGTCCTAGAGGGGTGCCCCTGCCAACACCAGTAACCCCCCCCCCGTTATCCTCCCTTATGTGGAATGTTAATTCTCCAGCTCTACTCAAGATGGAGGACTTAGGGGGGCTCTCTGTTTGCACCTCCCCTCAGTTCCTCTGGCTGTGGTGTCCTGGTTCCTGTTGAGGCATACATGCTCACCCAGGGATGGGAGAAACAAGCAAAATGTCTGATTCACATGTATTTAGGAAGATGAGGCTGGTGGTGACGAAGGAGGTGCTCCCTAAAATGCCTTCGGAGCGAGGCTGACATAGGAGATGACATCTACCTCTCTGTGAAGGCTCTCCCAGGTGTTTTTCCTATCTGGGGGCTCTTCACGTTTGCTCTTGTTTTCCTTACGTGAATCCTGCCCTTCCCCTCCTGGGGTACACACGCAATCTAAAATGCTTAGTTGGCTCTAAATCCTGCTAGGCCAGTTAAATATTTCTAATGTGCTTTCACTCATGTCTTTGTCACTGTGCTGAGTCCTTCAGGCCGGACAATCTGGGTCTGTGGCAAGCGAGGGGAAAGCAAGGAGCACTCAGTGTTGCTCCTCTGCTTCTCATAGGGGAAGAGAATGCTGTGCTTTCCCTGGGTTAATTTGTCTCCTGATCACTGATGTCTGTTATTTGAAGGTCTCAGATTTGTGCTCAGCTGATGGTCTTGGACACCATCTCTCTTCTGCATTTGGTGATTTTTGAGCTTTGACTTGGAAAGCTCAAACCAGGTGAACCGGTCTGGGAGGCAGCAAGTCCTACCTAGACAATACACTCCATCATAGAGTTTTTGGCAGTGTTTTCTCCTGCTCCTGACTGCCTCCTTGGCAAATATCTGGCTATGCAGGAGCTGTGTTACCACCTCCAAATACCCTGTGTGCCAGTTATTTCCAGGAACAGTTATCAATAGGTCTTGGGCAACATGACCACAAAAGGTGGAGGTGGGATGTGCTGCATCCGTGGTCACTAGGCATGAAGCTTCCTTCTTTTTTGTCTGAGCTTTAAGAGGCCTTCCCATACAGATTCTTGGCTCTCTTCTTTTTTTTTACTCTGACAATCTGGCAAAAGACAGCTCTGTAGAGATTTGGACTCCGTGTTAGCTTCCTTTTCCATGACAGTTTGTGCATTTGGTCACTTAGTTGTATTAGCTTTTATTTGGTGCTTTTGGTCCCTCTGGATTTAGGGTAGCAGAACTGGTAAATATTGTTTTGTTTTTCCAGTGCTATCCTGTGGTTTTTGCATTGGAAATTCTCTCCCCAGTAATTTCCTGAGGATGCTTTGGCAGGGTGGTCTAATGTGTTGTCATCTGTGGTTTATTTCCTGCTCTTCGGGGAAATGGGCAGCCGGTGTCTGGTTGGGGCTATTTAAATGCTGTTTTAAAAGGGGAGAAACAGTCTGCTAGAAGTAAATATGTTCTGTGTCCAAAGGGGCACTGAAGTCTCATGGATATGCTTTCCGTTGCGGTGTCGATAACCCACACCCTGTGATGATCTCGTGAGCAATATAACACAGCACAGCCATTGTACCATACGCCATTAGTCACCCATTGTACCAGGTAACAAAGAGCCTGTCCCAAAGAACTTAAACTGAGACTGAACAGGGGAGTCCAGTCAGTCTGGCAGCACAGTGTCAGCTTAGATCAGCTTGAGATTCTTTGTTTGGGAGTGTCTGGGTTCTGAGTCTTTAAAAAGCTGTTTGGGAGGCGGGACCCTCCGCCATTGTATCAGCCATTGGCCAATTGCTTCAGAACCCCAGGAAAGAGTTTCCTCCCCCAGCTGTCACATCCCCTCCTCTCTCTTTACTGTGCATCATTCACCGGTCTTGTGAAGTTCAGGCCTTTGCAGGCAAATCAAAGCAGTTGCCCACTGGCAACCTGTGGGTCCCAGAGCAGAGAAGAGCAGTGGTGTTCTGGCTATCACGAGACAGTGCGAGTTTGGTACTGGTTATGGGAGAGGCTCTGCTGGCTCCTTTTCTGCAAGGAGCTGCAACAAGTTATTGGGAAACAATGCTGATCTGGAGGGGTTGTTTTTCTTACTCCTGATTATCTGCTTGCTATGGCCATCCGTGGAGGTGCCTCTGCTTAATAGCTGTCCTGACTTCCAGATGCTCATCAGTCATCACACTCTATCCTGGGCTTAATTGTTGGTGGGTAAACACAGTGAGCCATTTTAGCACTTCCAGCCATGAGGGACAGCTGCTGCAGTGGTGAGAGGGCTTGCTGGGCTACTCTACCAGGATCTCTCTATGCTGTGGTTGTTTCCAGCCCCTGCACTGGATCTCTGCATCTTTTCCATGCCAGCTGGACCTGTTGCTTCTGCCTCCTCAGCATCATCTGATTCCTAGTGTGCTTTCCAGCTGTACCAGGCTGCCATCCCTCTCCTACGTGGCTGGGCTCTGTTCGTTTTACTGCCAGGCACCATCTGCAGCTCCTAGGAACCAGACCAGCTCTATTGACCCAAGAGGAGTTTGTTTCTTGTATTCCAGCTCAGAATGGGCCTTTGTCTTTGCCATGGCTCATGGGACTAGGCTGTGTACCAGAGAGGATGGGGAGGACTTGTTTTTCAGAGATGGTTTTCCAGGGTGAGTTGTCTGTGAATAATTGCCCAAATGGAGGTAATAACTCAGAATTCCTGTCTCACATCCAGAGTCTGTAAAACCAGCGATTAACACTTGTCTAGTAGCTCTTCTCTGAGGTGATGTTCCCCATGCAGTGTTTGGAGCCCTCAGGCTCCCTGTTCCATTAGTCCCACTCCACAGAATGGGTAGCCATGGAACCGAGTTGTGGTGACTCATTTCAGGCCACATAGGAAGTAGTTGATTAAGCTGTGATTTGGACCCAAGTCAAACCACGTACTGTACCAGACATTCCAATGCTGTAGCATAGGCTATGATCCTGAGAGCCAGCATGGGGTTCAAACCCTCAAGTGTATTTGTGGAGGATCCCCAGTGTCACTGTCCTTCCCTGTCCCACAGGCCTTGGAAAGGTGAATTCCTGAAACTGGAAGTCCCCTTGATGGAAAAGAGAGTGAACATCAGCAGGGAGGCTGAGACACACGGTCACTTGGAGTGAATTGATGGCGCAGAAAAGAGCAGTTCAGGGCGGAAAGGCCCTCAGAGTTTAAACAAGGCTTCTCTTTGCTGCTGCAAAGAACAAATCTTCATCTGAATTTGGCACTTTGGATCTAAGGCTTTTAAGTTAGAAGGCTTTTGAGGTTACTTTTGGTCTTATATTCAACTCCTGAGTGCAGGCAAGAATTGTGACCCCAGCCTAAGCTGAGATTATTCATGGGACCTCTTTTGTAGTGCCTTGGTTTGTTTTTTTTCTTTCCCCTTCCTGCAGCATTCAACCTGTCTATGGCGCTCAGCATCCTCCCCTGGATTCCCGGCTCACCAAAAAGTAAGTGTTTATCTCCTAGATAAGGTTTTTGACTCAGTTCTGCAGTAGGTGGAGGTCTCTAGCATCCCTGGCAGTGTGATCTTGCAGCAAAGAAGGACAGCAGTGGGGTACTGTGCTGTCTTGAGTGCTGTGAAGGCTTGCATGGAAAGCTTATTTGCTGGTGCCGTTTATGGCCAGAAATCCATACAGTAACAGCCTCATCAAAGGAGACAGACTTCTTTTTTGTTGTTGTTGTTTTTAGCAATGGTGTCTGATTCTTCTGCTCCTCTTTGGAGCTCAAAGAATTAAGGGAAAATGAGGTAAAGCTGAACTGCAGCACCCTTACTGGCAGGAAAAGGCAGAACTGATCTGAACTGGCTCCTTATCCCCATCTCGTGCTGTGTAGAGGTGAAAGTTCCCTGCTTCAGGTGGTGGACTTTGACTCTTGTAGCTTAAAAGTAAATGCAAGGGCTCCTCCTATGCCTGAGGAAAGAACTGGGCTGGTTTGGCTGCTGGGAACGATCACAGCTGTTATTGGGACTGTCCGCAGGAGAAGACCTGCTCTGTCTAACCTCTGACATGCCTCTCTCCAGGTTGCAAGACTTTTTTTGGGTGTTAATGTACCTGTTTTCTGTAGGGTGAGGGAAGGCAGAGCTGGAGGAATGGTATTTGCCCTTTTGAGCCATGAAGCCTGGCTTCTCTCCAGCTATCTGCTGCCACTGCGGCCTCTGTGACGGCTGTCAGAGCAGCTCAAGCTTTGCCTCCTAGCAGTGGGCAACCCAGACAGACTTAACATATTCCTTAGGTCTGGGAGGAGGAATGGGGAAACTGGATAAAGGGATTGGCTGATTGGAGCAAGGATGTGGGGAAAGGAAACAAAATGGACCTATGTAACAGCATGGCTCTGATACTATTCCTCTCTGGCTCGCAGCTTCATCAAGGACCGCTCCAAGGCCAGTGCATTGCCTATGAAAAGCAAGAAGGCCTCCAGCTTTCATGAGTTTGCCCGCAGTACCAGTGATGCCTGGGACATTGGTGATGACGAAGATGAGGACTTCTCTTCCTCCTCTTCCTCTTTGCAAACTCTGAACTCCAAAGTGGCCAAGGCCACGGCGGCCCAGGTTTTAGAGAACCACAGCAAGCTGCGGCTGAAACCCGAGCGGGCCCAGTCTACTCTCAGTGATATGCCCACCAACTGCAAGGTCATCAAGTCCAACAGTGAGGCCCAGCTCTCCAGGACTTCTGGTAAGAACCATCTTCGGGGGCAGCCTTCTGCTCTAGTGCTCTTCTGCTTGACCGCTGAACTCAATTGCTTATTGCTACTCACAGGGTATGGGCAAGAGGCTGTGACACAACCTGTAAGCATAACAAAGGCTTTTCCTTCTTTGTAGTATCCTGTACTTCAAGCATTTTTAGAGGCCTAGTCTTAATGCTTCAGTGTCCTCTGCTGCTCAGTATTCTGCTACAGACATCTGTCCCAGAGTACCCCATGTTCTGGATGCTAAGGGATTTTGGAGATCTGTTAAGTTCTTGCTTGGGCTTACTCACTGTCTGCTTCCTTTGTGGCCTAGAGTGTGCTGCTCTTAGTAAAGATCTGGATGAGGTCCTGTTGACACCAGGTTGATACAGCTTGGGCGGGGAATCGGGCAGCATCAGCCCCTGCTCACTCTGCCTTGTCTGCCTGTGCAGTGAAAGTAACCCAGAAGGTGGCGCTGGCAGCCCATTGCCTCCTCTCTATGTACTAGCAATTAGCTTTGTTGCTCTTTAGATCAGTGGAGCGCAGACCAGATCTGATGGTCAGTTCTGGGATTCCCACAGCTGCTTCTGCCTTGTCACCTGTGTCCTGTCCTGCCCATGCCTTCCCATGTGCAGAGGGAAGTCTGATCCACTTGCAGCCGGGTGTCTGGATGCAGGAGGAAGAAAGGGAAGGAGAAATGGGGGGAAGCGATGGAAGAGCTGCAGCAGATGCCTGTGAACCAGCCAATCCACTGGAGTGGGCCAATGATGCTGTTTACTGGTGCTGGGGAAGAGAGGGGTGAAATCTGCGGTGGCAGGTCTCTGAGAGTGGCTAGAGGAGTGAGGGAAGGGTCGGAGAGATGCAATCTCCTTCCGGTCACCTCAGTGCAGCATCTGGTCCTTGCAGAGGAAGCCTGTGTGCGGACCCCCCTTCAGAAGCAGCAGTCCCTTCCCCTTCGACCTGTCATTCCACTTGTTGCCCGAATCTCTGACCAAAATGCATCCGGTGCTCCCCCCATGACTGTGAGGGAGAAAACGCGGCTGGAGAAGTTTCGACAGCTCCTTTCCAGTCACAACACAGACCTGGGTGAGTGTGGCAAAATGAGGGTGCCCCTCTGGGTGGAAGGGGAAGGCAGAGGTGACCTGCTACCTGCATCAAGTTGTAATTGGGTCTGCTTCAGAGTGGAAAAAATTACTATCTGCAGTTGCACCAAGTGGGATGGTTGCACAGATCACTCTGTTGGCAGATGATAATGTCTTCCAGACACTTCCTCTGTGTTCCTTATCTTTCTCCATCTTGTATATGATGGTTGGGATCACTGGGGGCTGTTGGACTCTGCACGAGAACTGAGGTTCTGGTTCAGTGGGGCCCCTGCAGCTACCAGTTCTGTGCCCAAGCTAGGCTGAAATCATCTCTACTCCCCTTGCAGCAGAACCACATGCCCGGTCGTTGCTAGTGTGGGAGCCTTCCTGGTGGCTCAGTGTCTCCAGAGCCTGCAGGAGCAGACTGGGCTTTCCTCTCCTTCTAGGTACAGTGGTGCCTGGACGTGCCTAGGATCTAATCCATTGCCACCACTGTCCGTTTGCAGATGAGCTAAGAAAATGCAGCTGGCCTGGTGTACCTAGAGAGGTTCGGCCTGTGACATGGCGTCTCCTCTCAGTGAGTACTTGGAGCTCTGACACAGGAGTCTGGGGGGATTGTGCTGAGCCAGGGACCTACTCCCAGACCTTCATGTGTCCCATAACCAGCTTTACTTGTTTTATGTGTGCCCAGTCTACAGGTGAGCTGTAGCAGTTTTTTGATTGGGGAGTGTAATTGTTATGTCTTCTTTGAGCTCAAGGCCCAGACTGATGTGGGGAATATGTGGTTCACTCTCTTTAGGGAAAGTGAATCCAGTGAAGTTGGGTTCCTCCAAGATCAGTGAAGACATTGGGCTCAGAAAGCCAAATGCCATGAAAGCTCTTTCCCGAGCTCCTGAGTTTGTGTGCCTGATGTTTCTGGGTGCACATCTGACTGGCAGGATTTCAAGGGATGGTTTGTGGTGAGGAAAGAGGGTTTACCCTGATACGGGTTTTCCTGATGCAGGGCTATCTTCCTGCAAATTCGGAGCGTCGAAAGCTGACTTTGCAGCGCAAGCGGGAGGAGTACTTTGGCTTCATTCAGCAGTATTATGATTCCCGGAATGAGGAACATCATCAAGACACCTACCGACAGGTATGAATCTTCTACGTGCTACCCTTCTTTCTGCCTCGGTTATATCTCTTTCCTCTCTGTTGCCACTGCTTGTCCATGTGGTTAGGGTCATGCTAGAACTTTCTCTAGTTGTAGCTCATAGGAGTCTTCTCCTTGGGGAAAAAGCACCATGTTTCTGTCCTTGTTAGTTAAGCATTCCCTAAAATGATCTAATAATAAATTTCAGACCCCAGCTCTTTCCCAGCTTTCACCACCTGCCTGCACCTGAGCAGAGGAGTCTGGAGATAAAACTGTAGATGATTTTCTCAGTACAGCTATCATCTATAGCCCTCACTGTGCTTCTCAGCAAGTGCAGCTCTCGCTTGGTGGCACACTGAGGCATGTTAACCTGTGATGAATTATTGTGGCCCTGGAAAGCACAGTTGGTGTGTGTAATCCACCCTCTTTTCCAGATCCACATTGACATTCCAAGGACCAACCCACTCATTCCCCTCTTCCAGCAGCCACTCGTCCAGGAGGTAAGGGGAAGCGAAGCTCCTGCTCCACATTTACCATGGGGCATGTGTGTGGAGTTAGACAAGCGTTTCTACTAGTGAGTTAGCTTTTGTGGGGAAACTTCCCTGGGTCGCAGCTCCTGATGCAAGTACCTGCTGAAACTATATGGTCTTGTCCTGTATTTCTGAAAGACTTGGAGCTCAGGGCTTATGAGATCATCTCTTCCATGGCAAGATGTAGCCAAGAGTTGGTAAAAGACCTGAAGCTTTTGTTTTGAGACAAATTGGAGGCATTTGAACCCGGAGATGGTTCTGTTTTACTTCAAAACCCTTTTTGTGCAAAGTGGTATGTGAGCAACCAGGGCAGGGATGGGTTTGAGAGATGACCAGGAGGTGTGGGCACCTCTCCTCTTTGGAAATAAGCCCAGTGTGTGTATGTGATATGTCAGAGCATGGTGTCCAGGAGAATGGGGCAATTTGGGAATAGCACATTGATTGTTGTGGAGGAGACTGCTCTTTGGGAACTGTCCCAATCTGTAATGTTTTGCTGGGAGTACTGTGCTGATACTTCAGCTTTCCACCTGATGTTCAGCAAAGCATACTGCTCTGCTAAGAGGTAGCCCTGTCCTGTGGATATTAAGCTATTTGGTCCTTGAAAAGTTGGGTCTGCATGTCCTCAGGCAGAGGCTTTGATGAGGAGCCTCAACTGGACTGTCCTGTTCTCTGAGAGTGGGCTGGCCTATGTGGGGGATCTGTGGATCATACAGGAGTCTCTCCTAGGACTTGTATGCTTTTTACATTACCTGTATTGCTACGAAAAAGCCTGTCAGTGCATGGTCTCCACTACCTGAGCTTAGCAGTTATGCTTTTCTACCTTTGCTTTGTGCATGGCTAATGCAGGTACATGCTTTCCCTCATTCTTCCCTAGATTTTTGAAAGAATCCTGTTTATCTGGGCCATTCGACACCCAGCCAGCGGCTATGTACAGGGAATCAATGACCTGGTCACTCCGTTCTTTGTTGTGTTCCTCTCTGAGCATGTTGGTAAGTTACATTTGCTGCTTGAAGCACTCCTGATGGTGGTGTTTGAAATGGTGTGAAATGCTGGCATGAGGAAAACTTGCCTTGCTGGAGGAGGGGGTGATGTGTTCTTCCTTCAGAGCGCCTGTGCCAGGTTGGAGACACATCTTGACCTCTTACTGTATCTCTGTTTGCTGGCTGAATTGCCTTCGGTTTGATAATCTTGCTGAATCCCACAGAATTTAAAGTACTAAAAGTGGGTTTGCATTTGAATGTACTTAACAACATCACAGTTTGGAGGAGAATGGCATCTTCTAGGCACTGAGGGTGTTTGGGCAAAGCCCTGGTATACAGAGTTGCCGGAGGGTCTTGCTTTCAAAGCTTGGACTTGGAGACAATTCTTGCTCTAGGAGGAATGAGTGAAGTATAAAGAGACCCTGCTGAGACTGTAAAATAAGCTGTTTAAGTAAGGATTCCTGTCCCTTGCTGCTAGTACAGGTGTGTTTATCAAACTGAGAGTTTCAGAAAGTGAACTGACTTCATCCTGCTGCTTTTGGATTTCTTGTCAACCAGTGGCTTTTAGGTGGAGATCAAGTCCTTTCCACCCACAGCGCTTTTGTTCTTTCTCTGGTTGTAGCTGTGCTTTGGACTTGATGTTAATGCTGGGATGTTGTAATCCCTATGTTTAAAGGCTCTTCGTTTTCACTGTAAATAGAAGGAAAAAAGAATTTATAGGACTGTATTAGCGACAGAAATCCCATTGAACAAATATTTTTAAGGGCTGATCCAAAACATGTTGAAATTGGTGAAAACCTTCCACTGTCAAGCTAAGGCTTTGTAAACTAGTACTGATCTGCCTCTTCTGAGGGTACTGCGAAGAGATGAACCATCTTACCCTCCACTGTGATAGCCAGTGTGGCCAGGATTGATCCCTAGGAAGTGCTGTTGCTCCTCGCAGCCTGAAGGAGAAGGCACAAAACGCTACCAGCTGGAGCGAATTCCCTTTTGTGGGAGGTCAAGAGCATTCCAGGTCTGAACAAGTTCTCTTTGAGTGGCCTCTCCTGTGCCGTATTGCTTGAGCAGCATCAATGGCACATAATCCTCATGGAGGCTCAGGATTGATTTATTTGGGTAAGCAGTAGAGCTGTGCACAGTGAGTTACCTATGCAAGAAGGGAACTGGTCTGAAGCATCAGCGCTGCCTGTGGGTATGTGGTGTGACTTCTTGCATTCCTGTTCCATGTTGGTTGTCATGGCTTAACTCTCTCTGCGTATGGCATCAGAGTTCATGCTGCATTGGCCCTGTCCATCTCTTTGCTGGCCTCATGCTTCTCACCATCTTCCAATGCTGTTCTCACCCCTGATTTAAGCTTCCTCTGTGGATGTGACCTTCCTTTTTCCAGCTATCTCTGAAACTTGTATTGGAGAAAATCCTCTGCGTGAGACCGGTTGAGTAGAATTTGGCCAAGCAACATCATGCATCCCCCTTATGTCCCCAGAGCCTGCAATTTAAAAACCAGCCTTTAGGTCACGAGCTATCTTGGTGGCTACCTGCTCCCTAGTCTGGCTGTGTAGCTTCTCATGAAGTGATCTCAGCTCTGCTAACAGGGTGGTCCCTGTTGCCAGGGTCACTGAAGACTTCTGACCTATCATCCCATGCTTTGGGCAGGCATTGCATTTCCACACAACAAAGCATCTTTTCTACAGATCAATTAAAATCTCTCCTTGGTGCTTATCAGCTGATTAATGTGTCTGGTTGATAACGTTTCCATTATATATGTTACTAGACCAAGACCTAAAACATCCTTCCATGGCATGTGCAGAGGTTTTTTTCTAAGTTTCTGAGGACTGGAAAGTGTCTATTGGGAAAAGGTGGGTTGTTTGGGTAGGGAATGGTTTGTAGCTTATTGGTCACTTTCAGTAAACGATTTGGCACCTTTCTTTCTTTGAAGTTGACACGAGCAATGAACCAACAGTTGGCCAACTGCATGAGCAGTTACCCAACAAATTCCCAGGCTCCTGTGTGCAAAGGCATTAAACACAGCTCCTTTGCGAGTGGCTGTAGAGAAGTCAGCAGAAGAGTCATAGTCTTGGATGATGATGATGTGCAGCTGGAAAAATGCTTTACTGCTCTTTCTGCAGTACAAAACTGCGAGATTATTGTAGGGTTAAGCTCTTGTTTGTCCCTAAACTCCTGGTAGCAGTTTGCTCTGGAGCTGAGCTTTGCTTCAGAGCTGAGCTCTCCCCTGGAGGAGAAGCAGAGGTGGGAGCAGTGTTGGAGTCACTGGCCCTGCACTTCCCTTCCTCCTTTGGGCAGGATCTGTTAGTGTTGGTTTTCATAGCAGTACCAGTCTGTGACAGCTGTCCTGCAGTGTGTCTAAGTCAAGAGGGTGGCCTGGCTCTCACCTTGAACCCCATCTTCTCCCTCTCTTGCTCTTTTGCAAGGAACATCAAAGGTGCTTGCTAGTATTTTTGAGCCTCTGAGTTTGGAAATGGGCTAGTTTAGCCCTGGCATTTGTTGATCTGATTTACCAGCATGATAGAAACATGATGAGTGCTTTCTTCCCAAGGAGAAGAGGGAGGGAGCTGCTGGGAGGGAGCCAAGCCAAGAGGACCAGACCTGTGTCTGCTGACTGTCTCCTCACCTATGTTCCACTGCCTTCCCATGCCTGGTTAGGGTGAGCCTGGCTTGGAGCGGGTGATCTCTGCTCCAAACTCAGCCAGCATCGCTGTCATTCCATCCTCGAGGCATCTCTCCCTTACCCCTCCTGGGAGTTCATAAGCCCATTTGAAAACAAGGGCAGCTTTTTGTACTCCGTGAGAACCCTTAACTTTCTCAGTGAGAACCCTGTGTTAGCCGGGCTTTTTTTTTTGGAGGAGAAACTCCACAAAGCTGAGCCATCTCTCCGTCATGTGCCCCAGTTGTCAGGCTCTGTGCTGGATTTAACTCAGGGTCTTTTTGCTGTCCAGGGAGATGTTTGCATGCTTTTGGGTTCTTGCAGCTGTACCCGATAGTCCTGCTCTCCTGTGGAGGTTTCTGAAGCTTTGGCAGTTCTTCCTCATGAGTCCTCAAAGTTGGCAGCCACTTTTTAGGAGCCTCTGTTGTGCTTAATCCTGAACTAATGCTGATGAATCCAACTGAGAGCGGGAACTGAGCTCCCTTGTGCTGCCTCAAGCCAAGGGCAATGTTTCCTTCCCTAATTTCTGGCTGCAGTGAAGAATTTCAGCTCTCCCAACTCTCCCTGTGGTGCTACCAGCTGGCAGAGGCCTGCTGTGACTCAGGGCAGATGCGCTCTGGCTCGAGGGGTTCCAATATGCCAGAGCTTTGTCCATGCACAGCCCCTCACGCCAGAAGGGATGACAGAAATGCCAGTGCTGTGGGATCCCTCCCACAGTTCCCTGGGGAGCTGGGGTGCATTCAGGTCCTGGCTGACAAGTCTTCTGGGGTTCTTCAGCCTTTCACCTGAGTTGGAGAAATAGGGTGCATGGGTACTGCGATCAGTGCCAAGCACACCTCTCACATGCACGGAGTGTTGTAGTCCTCTTGCAATGCTTCGGCTTGATAAAGCCCCTTGATTTGTCCCACGCGCTGCCTGGTGTCCTCCATCCTCCTGATGCTCTTCTCTTTTGCAGAGGAGGATGTGGAAAACTTTGATGTGACAAACCTGTCGCAGGATGTTTTACGGAGCATCGAAGCCGATAGCTTTTGGTGCATGAGCAAGCTGCTGGATGGGATACAGGTGAGCCTCTGGGGCCATGGAGATTTCTCTTCCCTTGCTGGGGTAGCAGTGTGGTTGTCCTCTCTCCCTGTCTGGATGAGTGTTCTGCATGTTCTGGCATTAGGGAGATTTTGCTACTTCACCGAGCTAAATCCCTGAGTAAAATGCTGGGGAGGTGGGTGCTGATGACACTGTCCTGACTAGGGACTTCACAGCAAGCAGGTGATCCTGGTGCTCAAGAGCCATGACTTGGCTAATGACAATCTCATCTCCCTGTCGAACTGGTGGTCTGGTTCTGATCATTTCTAGCTGTTGTTAGAGCTGCTGCTTCTGAGTTGTGGCCTCTCCCCACAGGACAACTACACCTTTGCACAGCCAGGGATCCAGAAGAAAGTCAAAGCTCTGGAGGAGCTGGTCAGCCGGATTGATGGTAGGTGACAGGGGAACCTGATCATGTTGCCTCTTTTGTCATGACAGCAGGAGGCCTTCTTTTTAAGTAATACTCTCTTTGTAAGTAGGGCAGGGGTAGACGCTTGCCTACGACACGTATGGAGGCATGGTAGGGTGGGGTCAGCCAGAAACTTCCTGATGACAGGATTTGCTGACTGGGTAGCACACGGTGAGGAGTGGAGGAGTTTGGGAGGAAAAGGTCTCAGCCTGAAAGTGGCTGAAAACCAGTGTGTTGGGAGCAGTGTGCAGGAGCTGGGACACTGTGGTCCCCAGGTGTGTAAGTGAAATGTGCTGTTTCAGAGCAGGTACATAATCACTTTAGGAAGTACGAGGTCGAATACCTGCAGTTTGCCTTTCGCTGGATGAACAACCTGCTTATGAGAGAGCTGCCTCTTCGCTGTACCATCCGCCTCTGGGACACCTACCAGGTACACAGGTTTCCACTGACTTCCCTGCTGGGCATGTCACTGTGGAGCCGATTCCCTGTACGTGAGAGGACAGAGGTCATCTGGCACCAACTGGGGAGATGAGGGAAACAAAGCAGTGTGTCATTTATAGTGAGTCGAGTGATGGGTGGCCCAATAGGGCATCTCTATCCAGGGAAGTTGTTCTCCAGAAGAACTGGAGGAGCTGACCCAGAGTTTTGCTCTCCACAGTCAGAGCCGGAAGGATTCTCACACTTCCACCTGTATGTCTGCGCTGCCTTCTTGATCAAGTGGCGGAAGGAGATCCTAGATGAGGAAGACTTCCAAGTAAGACCCTGAGGTTGAGGATGATTCCATGGGGGTAAAGGAGAGGGAATTCCTCTAATTGGGAACCCAATGTGGACAGTCAGCTGTCATTCAGAGCTGGCTCCAAGATCATCTGGTCTCAGGAGCTTTGCCTAAAAGTAACTTTTCAGCCTCAGTGATAAGGACAGAGAACTGAGCTGTTGGACAGTTCAAACATCACATACCAGCTCTTCCCTGCACCTGAGCTCTGATCACAGTGATTGCCTTCCTGTGTCCAGCTGTAAGCCTCTAATATCACCCTTTATCTGAAGGGGCCTGGGGGCATCTGAGATGCTTCACTGATTCAGATCTAGACACAAGCACATCTTAATGCTGTGTCTGAGCCTTTCAGACCTGTGAATGTGGTGACCAGAGCTGCTGCCTCTGGTCCTTCCGCCCCCAAGCCTGCTCTGGATCAGTACTATGCCTTCAGCCTCTCCAAACTAAGCATCTTCCTTTCTTTCAGGGCCTCCTGATGTTGTTACAAAACCTGCCCACAATACACTGGGGTAATGAAGAAATTGGACTCCTGCTCGCTGAAGCCTACAGACTCAAGTACATGTTTGCGGATGCCCCCAATCATTACCGCCGATAGGTGCCCAGACTTGACTCACTCCTCTCTCCCATGCCCACCCCGTCGTCCTGGTCCGATCTGATCACTGTGGCATTTTTGTCATCCCAAGTCCTTGGACACTCCAGCTGGGAGCTGATCCTTGCTGTACAAAGCTCACATAGATTCTTAATGTGTGCCTGTCTGCCACTCCATGCATCTGGATGTGCCATTTTGACAACTGTCAGTATTTTACACCGTGCTGGAGGCTCAAGCCGGGAAGGGAGGCTTTAAGGGGCTAGGGGAGACCATGGAAAGAAGGTGTACTGATAAACCAGAGCTGAAGATGAAGCCTTTCTGTCCTCTCCACTCCCTGTCCTGGGCTTGTCTGCCTCCTGTTAACCTGCACTATGTGCGCTACCCCATCTGCTCCTTTCTCTCTTCTGACACTGCGCCATCTCCCAGATGAAAATGCCTTATCAGAGACCTGCCTGGCCGGAAAATCCTTCCCCACGAGGGTGGCAGGGCAAGAACTTTCTCTCAGGGCCTCCCTTCACTCCGAGGGTCCAGAGACCCCAAGCACTTTGTGGGTTCGCAAGAGAGTCCCTGGTGCCTGCCCTCTCTCCTTCTCTCCATCCTCTTCACCTACCTCTCCCCCAGGGCAATGGGGCAGGCATGACAGGGGCGATGAGCACTCCATCCACATATGGTTCAAATTATGCGTGCCAGTTTGATGGAACTTAATGGTGACTGATGTTCTGTGAGTACAGCCCCCTCCAGCGTGTGGGGGAGGTGCAGGGCGGGACTGGTAGGGGAGCAACATCTCCCAAAACCTCCTTACAAAGCCCCCACTCCTCTGGGGTGTTCTGTGTATATTGTGTTCTTGTGTATATGGGTCAAAGATGTACAATATATGTCTTCTCTTTGTAGCAGATTTTATATTTATAACGTGCACCCGTTGTCTCCCCATCTTCTCCATGCCTGAGAAGGATGCCTGGCTAGGGTGTCACAGGGCTTTGGAACACTCTGGAGGTGGGGGGGTGTTTCAGACCTGCAGGTAATGTCTGTGTCAGTATGTGCTTGCAGTGTTGGGTTTGCCAGGAAGAGGTGCCATAGAAACACAGATCTCAAGGCATCCCCTACAGATAGGATTTGGGTGGTTAGAGGAGATGGGAGCTCCCAGCAGGAAGCAGGGCAGAACTGTGTCCAAGAAACAGAGTATCCAGCCTCATCAGCTGCTGGCAAGTGCCTCTCTGAGCACTGCAGTGCTGGCTGGCAGGACTTTACAGGGAGGAATGATCCTGGATCCAGCACTGGCTGTCCCTGGTGCTGTCCAGCCCTGTGGACACACCCTCCCAGGAGTGCCAAAAGGATCGGGATGGCCTTGCTGCGTCTGCTTTTAAATCAGGCAGGCTGGGAATGTTTTAATGGGCCATTTTCTTCCCATGGTCAGGAACCATCTGCCACCAGCAAAGGGCTGGAGTCAGGAGGGCATGGGGGTCGGAGGGCATTGGGCAGGAGGCCAAATCTGGACCACCTTGGGTTTCTCCCAGCACTCCTGCTGCGTCGTGAGGGCTGTCTTGGTGGGGAGGCTTCTGGTCCCTCTACTTTCCATTTTCTGTTCCCAGTGGGGAAAAAGCAGGGGGCAGCGAGACCGGGGCCCAGCATGTGACAGGCACAACCTTGTTGCCAATAAAAGTCCAAACAGTATCTCAAGAAAACACTTTACTAACCTGGAGTTGTTTCTCTGAGGCGTTTGTTTGTGTGTGCCTTTTGTTGTTTTCTCTGAGAAACAGACCTGGTTGTCCTTAGTTGAACATGAAGTAAAAAACAAAAGAGAAACAAACCAAAAAAACTCCCACCAACACCAAACCCAACAAAAAAATCCGAACAAAAAACCAAATGCACCACCCAAAACATCAGCCCAACTCCAACCCATCAACTGAGCTGTGTGGTCAGGCAAGTGTTTGCAGTGCACCACTGCCTCCAGAAACATGAACCTGTGCAGGGAAGGACAAATGCATCTTAGGGAAGAGCTGTGCTGAGATGAGAAACTCTCCCCAGGTATGTGACAGGGATCAGCCCAGCTGCAGGGTCTGTCCTGCTGCCTCCACATCCCATCTGCTGGCAAGTCCCAATGTCCCTGGTCCAGCACTGCCAGCAGATGTAATTCAAGTTCCAGATTGCCAATTCCCATCCCTTCAGGGCTCTCAGCCAGCTTCCCCATCAGCACACTGCTGTGCAAGGCACAAGGTGGGATCACACCCTGCAGCATCTAGCCGTCACCCATTGCACAGGGAACAACCTCATCCCCAAGAGATGGTCAAGGCAGGATAAGAAACTCCATGTTTTACTTCCCCATTGCTCTTTTCAGGCTTTCCACCTGCATCTGGGACAACTGAGATGATTAAAAGCCATCACAGTAAGTTCTAGATTTCAGGACAACACTAGCAAGGAAGAACACTTTTTGAGGGCAGTGTTTTGGTTTTTTTCATACATTAGAACATTTATTTCTCAGAGAGAAAATATAGTCTCAGACAGTCAGATTATAGAAGGTAAAATTAGGTTTTTCTTTTCTTTACAAGCATAGATTTTCTTATTACCTCTCTTATACCATCTGATATAAACAATTCTAGAAATCAAATAAATTCACTTTCTACAATAAATAGAGCAATCTGTGCTTTACAGCAGACTGACAGTAACATTTAGGTTCCGTAGCAACAGCAGGACGTTAGCCCATTGATATTCTAAAATGTCATTAAAAAAAAGAAAAAAAAAAAAGAAAACAAAAAAGAAAACAAACACGAAAAAAACCCACCTCCCAAGACCTTAAAGCATATACACGGGTCACAAGTCCACAGCTGAGCTACCACCTAGAAAAGTGTATGTTCCTTTAAATAAATTACACTGTGTGCATATAAAAGACCCAGCAACACAACTGAGGACTTCAAGAATAGTGACAATCGGTCTAAATAATTTAGAACATTTTACAACTATATACACAACATCCTTCCCTAGCCACACTCCATAGGTGTTATTATCACTGTTAGTATTTTTACAAACCTATGTCCAACCTCTATATGTTGCAGGAATCTTAAAATTCCTTCAAATGTGGTTCCATGCCCCAGTGTATAAGAAGTGGTATTTTAAAAAAGTAGATCAAATAGAAATGGCAGTGATTACTCCCCACTATTCGTTATCATTCTCTTCAGTATGAAAAAGTTAAAAATAATAAAAAAATATTGAGTTAAAATGCAAAATGATATTCAATCTACAATCTTACTTTGCACCTTTGGTTCTTTAAAATGGGAAAACAAAAAGAGATAAGCAACAGAACAGATCGGAGAAATCATAAAGTCCTTGGCTAATAGAAAAGATTTTGTCATCAAGTTTCCAGACATCAGTTTGTCCCTGTTTTTTGCAATGCAAACACAGAACAACAGGGATGGTCTGCAGACCTGGGTTTACTTGGCTTTGGATGAATGACAACGCTGAAGGCTCACACACCAAGGAAAGGCTATGTCTGCATGGGAGAAGGGGAAATGGGAAATGGTTGTGTGCTCTTGTTAGTGCTTGGTTTCAACCTGAACTGCATCAGAGGAAAACCTTAAAGAGACAGAAAAGACGGAAGAAAGGAAGAGGAGCCTTTACACCAAATGTGCATAAAAGATGTATCTCCGGCCAACCCTGATCAACCTCAGTGCCTGCAGAGCTGCTTCAACTCCGATTCGACACCTCCAAAACTACTTTTACTTTTTCAAAAAATGAAGCTATCCTTGTTTAGATTCCATACTGCACAGTCATGATATGAAATGTAACAGCAGATTCACAGATACAAAATAAATTTCTAGGACATACATATACACACAGATCAGGTAATCTGCTTTCCATCTTTAAAGCTCTGTGCATGTAACTGTGTGCAGCAAGGGGGGGGATGGTCACCGATATATCTCAAGCTTTTCTAAAGGCAATGAGAGAAATCTAAACATGAAAACACTATGTACATAGGCAGGAAAATCATAATGTGAACTCCCAGCTATTATTTTACAGGGGTTTTTTTATGTGATAAGACAATGTCATTTAAAGAAAAATGAAAAGGCCAATGATGGTTTGGGAAAATTTGGCACAAGAAAGTCAAGTTGGAATTTCCATAAAGGAACCTGGTTCTGTTACAGTGGTGGCATGTTCCCAGGAACTACTCCGGGCTGGCCGATGACTTACAAACCCTGGCAGCACGGAGGAGGCAGGAGCAAGGGAGGGTGAATGAGGTCCAAACACCCAAGTGCTGCACTCTGCTCACTGCATCAACTCACCGTGGCCCCCATCACCCGTCAGCTTTTGCTAACTACCTTACTCCCAGCCCTGTAGACCGTACATTTCATCTCTTGCCACCTCTTCAGTAGACACATTCAGAAAGAAGCTGGACAAGGCTTTTTTGGCACATTTCAGTGTACTTTGAGGACCGCTGAAAGCTGCTGGGAACGGTGTTCCCCTGCCAGTCAGTGCATGAGATGGTCCACTTTGCCAATGCAGTGAACACGAGGTCTGGGGGGAAAAGGAGGTCCAGTCACCCCAATCCTTTACAGGTAACTGGATGTAATGAAGGGATGGTCTCCCTGTACTCGGCTCATGTGGATCATGGCTCGGTCATATGCCACCTGCACAGACTTGCGGATGCTGGTTTTTCGTCCTTCCATCATCTTTAACTTGTCCACTGTGTCATCAACACCAAGGGGATACACTTTGTCACGTGGAAGCCACTGCCTGCAGTAAAGAGTGCAAAAACCCGTCACCAAGGATATTGAGAGGGAAAATGGGGAAAGAAGAGCAGACACCTGGAGGCCTCTCGCCCTTGCAATACCTGAGCAATCAGCAGGGGTGTGACTGCTTAGCGTACCTGGCTCATTCCTACTGCGTGGTTGCTACAGGCCAAGGACATTCTCCCATGAGTTTCCAAGACATGGCCAAGTACTCCAGCTCCTCAAGCTTTCCCCACATATCTCAGCAGCCATTAGTCACTAGCTGTTATCTCCTCTCCAGGAGCAGTTACGCTTATGTAATATATATGTTCATCATTAACACCCACAATGATGCTACAAATGTTTAAATGCCCGCATTTGACATAGAAGAATCACCTGTAGCCAAAATGCCTTCCAAGCACAGTCTTCTCTCTCCTTGGAGTCCTTGCTCAAGGCTTTCAAGGCTCCTTTGAGCTACAGAGGAAACTTGGAAATCCCTGTGTTCCACAGAGCAGAAAAGAATACAGGGGCTTCCACGGTGGAAAGTAAGTTTTTATCCCCAAGCAAACTCTGTCTTATTCCAAGAAGTTGTAAGCATTAGAGGTTAGGTGGGTACAACTATCTGAGCATCACCCAGAAACAGGCAACTTCCAGCTGACATGTCCGAAACCCAAGCTAACCCTAATGGATTACTTAAATTGCAAATGCCTTGTCTGTAGCAGGTTTTTATTGTGTCCAGATTAAACAGTACACTAGGAAATATGCCACCTATCTCTCTTAATGAAGTCCAGCCCCTAGGAACTCAACCTCAGCCACTGCTAGCATAGTTCAGTGCAGCTCCCAGCCAGCCAACATGGACGACCCAGGGCAGCTCAGCTTATCTTAACCACAAAGATGAGGGACAATTTCAGTGTTCGTGACTCTTCTGCAACATCACTGAAGTCAGCAGAAATTTAGGACTTTCCTGAGATGCCTTATCTTCCCACAAACTACAAACAAGGCTCTAAGGGACCACTTAAGAGTGTAAACATGCAGCAGAGCTGTATTCAACAAGAGCAGGGAAAAGCCAGGGAAATGCTTGTTTTTGTTGGAAAGGTAGTTTCAATTACAAGCTTGGATTTATGTTTTTCAAAATGATGACTACAGCATGGCACTGCCATTGATTTTCTGCTAAAAGTCACTAGTACCTCTTTGAAGAACATGCTCTGTATCAACTAGTTCTGGTAATCAGGAACAGTGAAACAATGCAGTGTACTAATAAAAAGCCTCAGGAATTTGTCTCTTGACACCTCTTTTCTCCAGAGAACACAGAAATACTCCTCAAGTGATGCATACGTGATCACCTTCTCAACTTCTCAAGCAGATGGTGTATACTTTGCCTGTGTTGCCCCTCGTCTCCATCTCTTTAGACTGCATAAAACACTGTTGCAGCCCCAAAATGTAAGGGGGAACCCTCTCTCTTGCTGCTTTACCCCACTATATGTTTGGCACTGCTCTATTCCCAATGGTGTATCTTCCCTCCATCCCTGACACCACCCTCGGGCAATGTCCACCTCCTTCCTCCAGCCTCTGGCCCTGATCTCATGCTTCACTATTCTTCCAGGAATGCCAGCAAAAACCTTCCTCAGGAGATTAAGGAGAAGGGCTTTTGAAACAAGGCTTCTTTTAAACTCCTGATACGTTATTTTATAGAGGCAGCAGAAGGAAAGGCAAGCCCATCTACCTTCTGTTCCCACAGCATCCCAACACTCCAGCATCTGCTCTGTCTGCAGTATAAGCTCTCTGAATCTGTGATCCCAGCTGCACACAGAGATTGCCTCCTGTGTGACAGCTTATTTGCATGGTTCATGCTTCCATGTGGTACATTCAGTGGGCTCAGCATGTGGCTGTCGCCTCTTCCAGAATAATTCTCCAATTTTACAAGTTTCCCATTCTTTCATACACAGATTTCAGAGTCTTTTTAGTATTTTGAAGGCATTTCACTTGTTTATGCCTTATTATATCTGGCTGGTTTATTGTTACCATGTGAGCATGGTCAGCAATTAATGCGAAAATCAGCAGATTCAGTCTGTCTGAAGCAGAACAACAAAAGGCCTTGAGATATTTCACTTGCTTGGAACCTATGTGCTTACACCTACATTTTCCATCTTAAACAAAGATCTTGATTTGAAAACTGCAGGTACTCAGCACCTCTGAAAAATCAGCCAAGTCTAAATAAGAAATAAACCCAGCATTTTAAAAACGTTACCCTGGAAATTTTTGGCAAATCTTTTGTGCAGCATTGGAACAGGCTGCTTAGTCTGCCAGTGTTTTAAAGTCAAATGCTCTCTGTAATTTGCTGCAAATTGACTCTCAATGTACCTCGGTATTTTCATGGTTGATGTGACTACTGAGTGTAGAATGCTAGACTGTTCACCGTGGAACTGTGAGATGCTGTGTGACTGCGCCAGGAAAAGCAGGCTGTCTTCCTTATTTAGACTCTTCTTGACTGCTGCATGTTCAAATTCTCCAATTTGCATGTAATATCATCATCATCATAATCCCTGTGTGCTCCCATATATCAGAGATTATGTTAAATCTTCCTTCTCTGCAACAGCACTGTGGTGGTTTTAATCTAGGCCTTCCTTGGTTACCAGTTTGTAACCAAGGAAGAGGCAGTGTTCCCAGTATTCCATACGATTTTTACATAAATCGGGGTATAAATAAGAAGGGAGGAGAGGTCTTCTCTCTCTTCTCTTCCGGCGGGGTACGGGAACAGTGGGTCCTTGCGTTGGTCTCGCTTATCTAAGGTTGAGGCCTGCAGCGACTGCTGGCCTGCCACACAGAGGATAGCAGAGTGCTGGTCGTGTGTGCCAATCCTGTTTTTTTTCTAAGGGACGTGGTGAGATTTGTTTTACTAGTTACTTTACTAATTCTCGGGTTTGATTGCGTATATCCGCTCGGTGTCCCTTTTTGTTCCCTTTTGTTCCCCTTTCCCTATCCCTTCGGGGGGTGTTTGAATTCCTTTTTGTTGTGTACATAGCATCTTAACTGTAATATACA